TTAATTACTCCGCTAGCAGGGCCAGTGAAAACGGCATTTGCGACCCCTCCGCTACTCCGCAAGATCCGGATATGTTAGTACACGCGCTAGAAGGCCCGGTAGCTCAAAACTTTAGGCCCGCTGATGCCTGCCGAAGGCATTTTTTGAAAGGACTTGCTACTCTACAGCTCTTGTTCGTAGACAGCCATGGCCCTGACAGTCAAGCAGCGTGCTAAGCGTGCCCTCGTGACTCTCCTGCTACCGCTGGCAAGCGCGTATGGTCTCCACATCTCTTTGACGCGCGACTCTGCAGACGATGATGTCCGGAAGGCCTTCCGCAAAGTGGCAGTCAAAGTGCACCCGGACAAGGGTGGCGCCGCTGCGGACGCGCAGAGGCTCAATGCAGCACGCGATGCATGGACTGCCGCGGCGGCTAAGGCCAAGGCAAAAGGACGTCCTGTCCGTCCTTGCAACCAGCCAGGAGCAGGAGTTGCTGTCGACAGTGGCACTGAGGGCTTCCGGATTCGCTCCGAGAGTGTGCTCCTCACATACCAAAGTTGGCTTGCTGATGATGCCCCTGCGGCCTGGCAGAGGTTCTGCGCCTTCATTGCGGCCTCAACCACAGCTTGGCGTGTGAAGCACTGGGCAGCGACCATGGAGCAGAATGCCACTGGCAGCTGCCACATGCACATCATGGTCCAGTTTACGGCAGCGCAGGACTGCGGCTGCGGCCGCTTCATCTTTGAAGGCGTCCGCCCAAACTGTAGCCCTAACGCCTACCTGAATGAGGGCGTGTGCCGCAAAAAGGTGCAGCAATCCATAGACCGTGGTATGTTTTACGTGTGGGCAGACAAAGTGGGAACTGTGCGCTTAGGCACTGGGGACCTCTGCGTGGCTGCAAACTACGAGCCCTGCTGGACCAAGGCGGCTCGTACTTACCAGGTTCTTGGCAAATGGCCGGAGACACTGTAGAAACAGCGCAAGCTCACCTCGCAGAAGTACGAGGAGTACCTTTTCCTCACTCGCGATGGTGTGCTCGCGCGAAAGCGTAATCTGGATGCTGTGCGTGAGCACGAGGCTGGGCTGGCAGAAGCCGGCATCATCGAGGCCAACAGCAAGCGCATCCGCGCAAACCCAGCGCTCTACCAGCCGTTTCCTCGCGTGCCTGCAGCTGACGCGTGGCTGGCGACTTTCCGTGAGGATCGCCTAAGGTATCCGGTTCTCATTGTGCTAGGACCATCCCAAACAGGCAAGACGGAATGGGCAAAATCCTTGTTCAAGAGACCGCTGGAGCTTAAGGTGGGAAGCTTGGAGGTCTTCCCAGAAGCCATGCGCAGCTTTGACAGGACTTGGCACGATGGCATCGTTTTGGACGATGTTCGCGACCTCAACTTCCTGGCAGAGCATCAAGACAAGCTGCAGGGCAAGTATGATGCCCGTGTGGAGTTCGCAACGACTCCAGGAGGTACCTGCGCCTACAGCAAGTACCTCTTCGCGGTGCCCGTGGTCGTGACCATCAACAACAGTACGCGAAACCTGGACTTCCTGCTGACGCATGACTGGCTCAGCTGCGAGCGAAATCGCGTCCTCATCCGCTTCCCAGATGTCCTCCGACAAGACTAAAGAGTAGTCATCACATGTTTCACCGCCAATGCATTGCGCAGCTGCAGACCTCCGCAGCACAATGTGGTGAACGGCCCGGCCGACTGAACACACCACGCCCCCCAGCCACCCACTCAAGCTCCAGACATAGGTTGTGTAACTGTGTGCAGTGATGTGCGACATGTAGCTACGGCCTGTATGTTGGCGGCCAAGCCACCCAAACCTTTAGGGGTTTTCAGACTGTGCATCGTGACTTGCGACGTGCTGCCATGGCCCGTCTGTGGGCGGCCAAAGCACCCAAACCTAATTCTATGGCCCATAGGTGGGCGGCCAAACCACCCAAACCAAGTACTACAGGGTTCTGAACAGTTTGTAGAAGGGTTTCTTGCTTCTGGGGCCACGAACGCTTGCTGTGCTGTAGCTAGCAGGCTCAGGTGTACCATGCCCGTAGTTCAAGAGGTCAGGCACCCGCGGTCCCTGGACTTTGCGAATGAGCGCAAGGTTGTGCTGCTACGCGACATACAGGGCTGCTCATGGGACAGCATCCGCCGACAGGTGCGCAATTTGCGTGGCCACATGCCCAGTGTGTCCCTCTTGAAGCGCGTCCACAAGGGCTTCAAGCAGACACTTGGTCGTCGACCGTACAAGTATCAGAACTGCGGCCGCCGGCCCAGTAAGTCCACCAAAGCCGTCCAGAAGTTCCTGGTGCAGCGGCTGCTTGCCTTGAGGCTGCAGTGCGTCTGCACCTCCCTTACCTTGCAGCGTGAACTACTCTCCAAGAAAGGAGTACACTTGGATGCTTCATCCATCCGCAAGGTTCTTCGGAAGCATGGCTATCACTGGTTGCCCAAGGCTCAGAAGCGAAAGTACAGCGCGCCGCGCAGAGCAGAGCGGCTTCGTTTCGCAAGAGCAGTGGTGCAGTTGAGTCGGGCCCGCCTGCGTGAGAAGCTGTCCTTTTCCATGGATGGAGTAATCCTGGCTTTACCCCCACGGGACCCGACGGACAGGGCAAACTACTGTGCACATGGTGATGGCCACATGTGGCGGCAGCGTGGTGAATGCTGGCGATCCGTACCCGGCTCAGCTTCCGCAGAGTCGTGCTGTACCTCTCTGGGGAGGCCTCTCGGAGGGCGGCTTCCACGTCGTGGCTTTCCACCAAGCTCGGAAGTTCACAGGCAACGCGTGGTGTAGTTCGGAGTGGCAGGCTCACAAGAGCCATCAAAGCGCTACAGCCAGTTAAGGCGCATGGTCCGTGGAAGGTGCTGTGCGACAATGAGTCCTTCCTGCACACATCGGGGAGCAGACATGCCATGGCTGCCGAAGGCATCACTACATGGTCTGTGCCCCCGGCCTCGCCCGACCTCAATCCGGTAGAAAAGTTCTGGGCGTGGCTGCGAAAGCGCATCCGCTACCTGGACCGGCAAGACCTACGACGCAGACGTCCACCCATTGGGCTGCTAGCTTTCAAGGCTCGTGTTCGCTCAATCATTGCTTCCCAACGAGCACAGACAGTTGCCTCCCGTATAGCGGCGGGCTTCCGGAAGACATGCAAGGAGGTCATTGCCAAGAAAGGTGGCATGGCCAGGTCCTAGCGTGTGTATCACCACACCTTGCCTTTGCGCCGGCCCTTGACGTCAAAATTGACGCTGCGGCGGGCCGAAAGTTCGACCCACTCGCACATGTAGGAAAACCTCTATCACTCAGTCCGCGATGCAGCCCCCTTTTCCCCCGTAGACTCCTAACACTGGG